GGTACTCCCGACTTCAGGGCCAGTGCTCTATCCACTGCGCCACCTAGCTGCCCCTCATGATTACTACTCTGGTGCTGGCTCTCATCACCTTGTGCCTGGACTATTGTAATAGTCTGCTGGCGAGTCAGCTTGCTTTAAGTCCCTTCACACTCCAATCCACCTTCCTTTCAGCTGTCAAATTGATTTTCCTAAAGCACAGGTCTGACTCTGTTACCTCCCCCCTCCCTGCATCCCATCCATTCAACAAACTCCACTGGCTTCTTATTGACTTTCAATATCTTGGCTTTCAATATGTATTGCCTGTGTTTAGCAGAGTACTTTGAACATAGTAAGCATTTAATACACTTCTGGATGTATCACTGTATTGTTTTCTAGACTGCTTACTTCACTTTGCATCAGTCCATCCAAGTTTTTTCATGTTTCTCTATCTTCAATGTGTTTGTTGTTTTTTATGGCACAGTAATAGTTCATTACACTCATGTACCACATTTACTATGTTTAACCATTCCCTAATCAATGGGCATCTGCTTTTTCTCCTCTTCCTTCCGCCCCCACCTGAGTTCCTTGCTACCACAAAAAGAGCTATTATTCCTATTTTGATTATATAAGCCTTTTTTTTTTTGTTATTGACCTCTTGGCATATATGGCTAGCTGTGAAATCTCTGAGGCAAAAGGCACGGACATTTTGCTCACTTTCAATTGCATGACTTCAAATTACTTGTCAGATTGGTTGTGTGATGTATCTGATGCTCCTTAACCCCTCCAACATCGACTTTTCCCATTACTTTGTCATCTTTGCCAATGGCTATGTGTGAGAGGAAGGGTCAGAGTGGTTTTGATTAGCGTTTTTCTTAATATTAGTGATTTGAGGCATTCTTTTATATAGTTGTTTATAGTTTGTGGAGTTTTTTTTTTGAGAACTATTTGAGCACTTATCTTTTGGGATGTGGTTTTCAGTCATATATTTCTGTTAGTTATCTACATACATTGGTTTTTTGGGATTCACTTGGTGCATAGTAAATTGTGTTCTGGCCTCTCATTTTGATTCTAAAAATTTCCACCCAATCAAAATTATGAATGCTGAAGAATACCAACCCTTGGGTGATTTTCTCTCCTTTTTCAAAGAATTCATTCCTTAGCTCACCATTTTTTTCTCCTCCTCCACTCCTGATCTTATACTAGCGGATTTTAATATCCATTGAAGATGGCACCTTAAACTCTTCATCCTCTCATTTCCTGTACCTCCCCAAGTCCAAGGACCTATTCCTTCACTCCACCTTAGCCATATGTAAGGATGGTCACACACTAGATTTCCCCATTACCCATACATTTTCCACTTCCCTAATTAGAAATTCAGACATTTCCCTATTTGACCAGAACTCCATTCATTTTCCCTCTCCTATGTTTCACCCTTTCTGTACCTACTCTTTGCCCTCATTGAGACCTATAATCCCTCCATACCTTAGTAATTTCTCAAGCCACTCTTCCCATTCTGACTTCCCCTTTGTCCTTCTCTAAATTCAAACCATTAGTTAGCCATTTCAATTCTACCTGAATCCAATTCAACTCTTCTTGAGTCCTTTGCCCTCTTGTCTTGTTGCTACTATTTGTCAAATCTCTGCTATAGATTATTACCAGCATTTGCCTCTTCTGCTCCTTCTGAGCTTCTGAATGAAGCTGGAGAGAATCTCATAATCAAGCTGATTATTATAAATTAATTATAATATAATTATAAATATAAATTAATGCTATCTAGCATTATAGGCATTATAAATTAATGCTATCTAGTCACAACTTGGCTTTTACTGTAGTAAAGCAGTCCTTTTATTCCTCTCTAAGTGATTCTCTATTTTATTCCTTATAGTTCTTTCAAGTCTTTTCTTTTTTTCTGATTTTCTGATTTATTCATTTAAAACATTCTTTTCTTTTAAAATTTTGAGTTCTAGATTCTTTCCCTCCCACTCCTCCTCCATTCACTGAGAAAGCAGGCACTAGGATATCAATTATACATGTGAAATCATACAAAACATGCTTGCGTGTTAGCCATATTGCAACCCCCCCCCCGTAATACAATGAAAAAATCATACTTCAATTTGTACTCAGAGTTCATCAGTTCTCTCTCTGGAGGTGGATAGCATTTTTTCATCATGAGTTCTTTAGGATTATTTTGGATAAGTGTATTGATTGGAGTAGTAAAATCCTTCACAGTTATCATCATTGCAAGATTGCTATTACTGTGCACAATAATCTCCTGGTTCTTCTCATTTCACCTTGCATCAGTTCATATAGTGTCATGTTTTTCTGAAACCTTTCCCTCATCATTTCTTATAGTACAACAGTATTCCATTACAGTCATATGCCATGCCTTGTTTAGCCATTCCCCAATTGATGAGTATCTTCTTAATTTCCAATTCTTTGCCACCACAAAAAGAGCAGCTATAAATATTTTTTTTGTATATATGTCCTTTTCCTTTTTCTTCATCTCTTTGGTATATATATACTTATTAGTGGTATTTCTCGATCAAAGGGTAGGTGCAATTTTATAGCCCTTTGGGCATAGTTCCCAATTGTTCTCTAGAATGGTTGAACCAGTTCAGTACTCCACCAATAATTCATTAGTGTACCTATTTTCATCATCGCCTCCCGGCACTTGCCATTTCTTATAGGTGTGAGGTGGTATCTCGGATTTTTTAAGAGTTGCATTGAGAGCATTTTTCATATGACTGTAGATAGATTTGATTTCTTCTTCTGAAAACTTCTTGCTCATATGCTTTGGCCATTTATCAGTTGGGGAATCGCTGTTATTTTGATAAAGTTGCCTCCTCTATATATTTGAGAAGTGAAGCCTTTATCAGTGAAATTTGCTATCACATTTTTTGATATTACTTCATTGTCTATGGCACCTTTTTAGCCAAATGTAGTTTCCCTGATTATCTCTTTTAATTAGACCTTTTTTGCTTTTTCTTTGTCTGAGATCATGATCACTACCCTTGCCTTTTTTTTTTTTAACTTCAGCTAAAGCATAATACATTCTGTTTCATCACTTTATTATATAAGACACACATCACCTGTGTGGGTGTCTTTCTGTTTCAAGTGTGTCTCTTGTAAACAACATATTGTTGGATTCTAGTTTCCAATCCATTCTGCTATCCACTTCCACTTTATGGGCAAGCTCATCCCATTCACATTCACAGTTATGATTACTAACCGTATATTCTCTCAATCCCAGTTTCTTCTGTTTCTTTTCTCTCTTTTTATCCTGTTCCTCCTCAAAAGTCTATTTTGCTTCTAACCACTGCCTTCCTTAATCTGTCCTGTCTTTTACCATCACACCTTTCTCTTCTTTCCTCTTCTTTCCCTCTTCTCTTCCTATTTCCCTCTTATCTCAAACCTTTTCTTACTATCATCCTATATATTTCTCGCCTTTCACAGTCAAATTCATTGAAAAAGTTGTCTGCACTTGCTATCTATAAAAAAAAAGCTGTCTGCACTTACTCTCTTCTCCTTCTCTCCTCAAATCTCAGAAATCTGGCTTCTGAACTCATCATTCAACTGAAACTGTTCTCTCCAAAATTGCCAATGATTTCCTAATTTCCAAAACTGATGATATTGCTCCGTCTTACTCTTCTTTATCTATCTGCTTCATTGGACACTGTTGACTACCCTCTCTTGCTGGATACCCTGTTGTCTGCATTTTTGTGACACTCTGTTCTCTTAGTTCATTTCCTGTCTGACCACTCAGTCTCTTTCGCTGGCTTATCATCTACAACATATTTCACAACTGTGAATGTTCCTCAAGGTTTATCCTAGGTTCTCCTTTTTTTCTCCCTTTATACTGTCTCTTTAGGTTACCTTATCAGTCTCCCTTGGGTTTAACTATCATCTCTATGCAAGTGACTCTCAGATATTTATTTCTAGTCTTTTTTTTTTATCACCTAAGCTTTAATTCTAGATCATTAATTTCCCTTTGGACATTTCAAAGTGGATGTCCTGGAGACATCTTAAACTTAACATGTCTAAAACTGAGCTCATTATCTTCTTTCCTCTCACCTCCACCCCTGTAACCCTCTTGTCTTCCAAACTTCCTACTTTTATTGAAGGTGCCGCCATCTTGCCAATCTCCTAGCTTATTAACCTTGGCATTATCATGGCTCCTTACTCTTCTTCACCCCTATGTAATCCAATCTTGCCTTTGCTACCTTCACAGCATCTCTCATATCTGACCCCTTCTCTACTCATACTCTACCATCTGAGTTCAGGCTCTCATCATCTTTTACCTAGATTATTGTAACATCCTGATTTCCCTGCTTCAAGTCCCTCCCCCTCCAGTCCATCCTACACACTTTTGCCAAAGTAATTTTCTTTAAGTGCCCATCTGACTCAGGGACTCCTCTATCTAACCAACTCTAGAGGCTTCCTTTTGCCTCTAGAATAAAACATAAACTCATGTTTAGCCCTATCCAACCTGGCCCCAACCTATCTTTTCTTCCTCATTGGAAATTACTCTCCCTCCCACACTCTGTGATCCAATCACATTGTCATGAATATAGAGTTGGCTTTAGAGGCAGGAAGATCTGGGCTGAGTTTTGCTTCTCACATACTAGCTTTGTGACTCTTGGCGAGTTATTTTAGCCTCTCAGTACCCTGGACAACTCTCTAAGATTGTATATAAGGGGCAGAGAAGTATGGACCTGCATAGGCAGAGGAAGTTTTCTCATTGGGAATTCCCAATTCTATTGCAATCACAGGTTCAGTCCCTCTCTCTATATTAATTCTGCAGAGAGGAGGTGGGGTATAGCCATGACCTCTGCTCAACTCTGACTACAGTCTCTTCCATGCTGGACCCAGTTGTGACTATCAAATTCCATCACTTGGTCTTTGATCCCAGGTGCCCAAACATCAACCTAGTCCTGTAAGCAGGTTGCAAAATTTCCCAACAAACTTGGACTGAACCCGTGACCAGTGACGTTTCTCCTGCTCTTGTCTGGAAAGGGAACATATGCTAATAAGCCCAAATCAGAGTCAGTTTGAAACCAGAACTGGTGAGCTTAGGGACTAGAACATATGTCAGAAGGACTATGCTTCCAGAAGGAGTCAAGGATCACCGCAAGGTTCACATACTGAAGATCATATTGCTGGTCATTGTTCTGGTGGCCTTGCAAATGAGTTGAAGAAAAGCCAGAAAAGCTTCCTGGAGATTGAGGTGGGATGGTGGAGCTGTACTTGTTACTGGGGGTGGAGTGGGGTCAGGCGTGTAAGATAGAGAGGGGCCTGAGGGGTAGAGGGCTACAAGAGGGAGGGCCTCACAAGGGCCAGGCATCATAGGGGAGGGCCTGGGCATAGCACTGATTTCTCACAGCCCAGAATTTTAGGTTATAGGCTTCTCTGCATGAACTCGACGTCCTGCTTCATTCTGTCTCAGTTCCCTCTGTCTCTCCTGATTCTCTTTTCTCTTATCCCGTGTCTCCCCTCCCTAAATTCCTTCATCATTTCCCTTATCTCTCCATATTCTTCTTTCCCTCTCTCTCACTTCCTTATCTCTCTGCCTTCCTTTTCTTGTCTGTCTTCCTCATCTGTTTTTTTCTTCTCTGTTTCTATCTCTTTCTCCCTATCTTCCTCCTTGAATGGTCTCTCTCCCCATCTCTCTGCCATCCTATTATTTTTGCCTTCCTGTTTTTGTCAGTCCCCTTCCCCCCATTTCCCTTTTCTCACTATCTTTCCTCCACTTACCCTTGTCTGGGTCCCTGGCTGTTTGCCTCCCTATGTCCTCACATCTGCTTTTTTTTTTCCTTCTCAGGCTTCCTGTCTCCTTGTGGTCCCCTTGCTTCCTATCCTTCCCTCCCAATTAAGAACAATTTTAAAACTGGAAGCCAGCCCCAGAAAGGATTGCAGGACATGAGGGCAGATGTGGCTATCTCCTAGGCCCGGTCCATTCACACACCTTTTTCCTCCCCTTAGAGAGACCTGAACAATAACTTGGAGGAGATGGCATCCCAGAGAGATTCGCTGCTCAGTCAGCTACAGAAGCTGAAGGGTAAGAGGCCTGTGTATGTAGGGAGGACCTGGAGCGGCTCCCCTTCCCTCCACCACTCTGGGGGGAGTCTCAGGACCCTGCCACTTTGAAAAGGGAGTTTCAGGGGCTGGAGGTAGAGAGGGAGGGAAGCACAGACTGACCACCCCCACCCCCCAATCCCAGGCTCCAGCAAGGTTGGTACTACCCCCCCAAGGCCCTAACATACATCCAGGGAATGGGGCTGAGAGTAGAGTGATCATAGGTTTTAGAGCTGGAAAGGGACCTTAGAAACCATCGACTCCGAGGTCCTAAACCTGGGGTCCATGAGTTTGTTTATTTTAATATTTAATAACTGTAGTTCAGTGCAATTGGTTTCCTTTGAAATCCTACCTGTTGTATTTTATACATTTAAGCACATCATTCTGAGAAGGGGATCCTGGCCTTCAGCAGATCAATGCCCAAAGTGGGGGACACAACACAAACAAGGCTAAGAACCCCTGGTCTGCTCCCATCTCCTCATTTTGCCCACGAGGAAGCAGAGGCCAGAGAGGTTAAGGACCTTGCCCAAAGTCACCCAGGCACAATGATGGAGAGGACCCTAGCTCAGGCTCTCTGACCCCAAAGCTTCCCATTTTCCACTAGGACGTGTGACTTCCAGGAGGTCCAGGTGTCTGTGTGGGTTCTGCCACTATGAGCTGCATGACTCTGGGCCAGTCACTTGACCTCTGAGCCGCCGTTTGGTCTCATCTGTCAAGTGAGGGAATTGCACCTCATGAGCTCTGAGGTCCCCTGCAGTTCTTAAGTACGAGTCCATGTTCTCTTCCCTTCTCTGGGCATCATGGGTAGCCACAAGGGGGTCTTAATGCCTTTCCCTAGTAGTCCCTATCCCAGGGATCATTTCCTAAGAAGGAGCCTTGTGAAGAGGGGTGTCTCAAATGGAGGGAATTCAGGCTCTGGGGAAGAAAGTTTGAAGACCCAAGAGGCTTTGGGGGCCTTTCCCATGGCACCAAGTTGGTGGGGATGAGGGTGGGAGTGAAACAATTTCTCCTTCTCATTAACTTCCCCTCCTGCCTTCTTCCCTGGTCCAGAAGAGAACCAGAATTTTGCTGAGAAACTTAGGAATGCTGAGGCAGCCCTGCAGATGGAGAGGTCAGTACTAGCCTCCCTGTGGAGGGGCTGGGCTCTGCTGTCCCTCATAACTTCCCTTAGTGGAGACTTCATATGGATCAGTGACTCACTTGGATTCTTCTTGGGTTAGGTCACTTCTAGAGACAGGGTCATCCTATCTTCTAGGGACACATTTATTTCTGGATGGAGATGCCAAGAACCCTCTACCCCTAGTGTAGGGTAGAGATGTGGGAGGGGTGAGGGTTGATTTCCTGTTGTGTGGCTGAACCAAGATAAATGTGTAAACCCAGGACAGCCTCTCTCCCCTTCCATGTCCTCCTGTTCCCCCAAACCGGAGTGCCACCTGTAGGATCTATGGAAGAGATACCAGGTGAGTCAGGAAGGGCAATCTAGCCCTGAAGGTGTCAATACAGACCTGGAATTCAGGCAGCAGGGACTCTGAGGGCTTCGCACGAAATAGATCCTGGTTCTGTTACTGACTTGTCATGAGGCCCTGGGCAGTACACTCCTCCTCCTCCTCCTCCTGACTCAGTTTCCTCTATAACATGAAGCTATTAGATGGGTGGGGTCCTCTAAATTTCCTTCCCACTCTGCCATTTTAAGTTTTGTCTTATTTTTTCTTCCATTTTTCTCATTCTATATTATGCGTTCTACTTTTTGCTTTTAGGCAATTGGGGTTAAGTGACTTGCCCAGGGTCACACAGCTAGTAAGTGTCAAGTGTTTGGTCTAAGGCCAGATTTGAACTCAAGTCCTTCTGACTTCAGGGCAGGTGCCACCTAGCTGCCTCTTTGTTCTACTTTGGAGAACTGAGTTCCAAAGTTTTTCCTGGCTATGGTATTCTATGTTTTAATTTTCTTTTCTTTTCTTTTCTTTCTTTCTTTCTTTCTTTCTTTCTTTCTTTCTTTCTTTCTTTCTTTCTTTCTTTCTTTCTTTCTTTCTTTCTTTCTTTCTTTCTTTCTTTCTGGTGAGGCAATCAGGGTTAAGTGACTTGCCCAGGGTCATACAGCTAGTAAGTGTCAGGTGTCTGGGGTCAGATTTGAACTCAGGTCCTCTTGACTCCAAGGTCGGAGCTCTATCCACTGCACCACCTAGCTGCCCCTTAAGCTTCTTATGTGCACTGGAAAGAAGGGGGAAGGGAAGAGAATAACTATTTATATAACACCTACCATCTGCCTGTCACTCTGCTAAGTGTTCTTCACAAATATTGTTTCATTTGATACTCATAACAATCCTGCCAGGTGGGTGCTGTTATCATCTCCATTTTACAGTTGAAGAAACTGAGACAAACATACTGTAAGTGACTTGCCCAGGGTCAGATAGCTAGTAAGTGCGTGAAGCTGTATTTGACCTCAGGCCTTCCCAATTCCAGGTGTAGTGTTCTATCCACTGAGCCACTTAGCTGACTCCTAGATGGCATTCTAGATTCTAAGGTCTGTCCCCCTCCAACATTCTATATCTGCTGGATCAGAGATTTATTATCAAAAGAGACCTCAGAGATCTTTTAGTCCAACCCCCTTATTTTACTGATAAAGGAACTGAGGCCCAGATTTGCCTAGTGTCTAATAAGTAATCTCACAATCATCAATTAAATGCAGGTACGTTGACTTCAGTTGTAGTGTCCTTTCTACCCTACCAGGTTCTAGAGGTCCTTTCTATGTTCTGTGTTCTGCCATCTATTGTTCTGAGGTTCTGTGCTGAAGTTTCTTTCAGCTCTCATAGTCTCTGATCTAATGCCCTTCTCAGCTCAGACAATTTGTATTCTGAGGCTCCCACTCACTCCCCACTCTGGCTCCCAATGCTCAGTTCTGACATTCTCTGCTCTGTGGAGCATATCAGGCTTTCCAATATCAACCTTTTTACCATTGGGAAGCATTGGAGTGCCCCTTGCCTTCAGAGTCTTATAGTAGATACTAGGAGGATTTCTGGGATTAAAGAAAGACTGTTCTGATAAAACTCATAGTCTCATAGGCTATGCTGACAATAAGAAACATTTGGGGATTTTTTGTCTTGGGGGAAGAGGGATTTTCTACTCTTTTGGGTTGTCTACTAAGAAACATCACACTCACTGCCCACGGGCAGCATGCCAGCCAGCAAACTGCCAAGTGCCTGAACCAGAGTAAAATGTGACTGGGAAATGTTTCATAAAAGTACAAGACAGATAATGTTAATTTGTGATTTTCTAAGTCAATTTGCAGCCCAGAGTGATCTGTTTCTATTTGAGTTTGACACCACTGATCCAAGGCTCTTATCCCTTGGTACCATAATGCCACACAAAGGATTATTAACTAGCATAGCATTAATTGGCAACAGACTGATTGGCACAGCACTCAGTAGGTCAACTAGCATTTATTAAACACCTACTGTGGGCCAATTACTCTGCTAAGTGCTAGGGAGAAAAAGAACAGCAACTCTACCCCACCCCATACAACCCTCCCACCCGCAAACCCCAGGTCCTGCTCTCCAGGAATTTGCAGTCTAAGCAGGGAGCCAACATGCAAATAAGTATGCACAAACAAGATTATAGATATATAAAAATAAATAATTGGACATCATTTCAGAGGGAAGGCACTAAAGATTAAGGAAGACAGGCAAAGACTTTTTGAAAAGGGTGAGGCTTTAGCTGAGACTTGAAGGCATCCAGGGAAGCCAGGAGGGGGAGATAAGGAAGGAAAGTATTGCAGGTTTTGTAGACAGCCAGTGAAATTGCAGTGTCCAGAGATGGAGTGTCTTGTGTAAGGAACAGCAAGGAAGCCAGGGTCACTGGATCAAAGTGTAAGCAGAGGAGAGAGATCTATAAAAAGGCTGGAAAGGTAGAAAGGGGCCAGGTTTTGAATGGCTTTAAAAGCGTATCAGAGAGATCAAGAAGAATGATGATTGAGAAAAGGTCATTGGATTTGAAAATCAAGAGAGCATTAGTAAGTTTGAAGAGAGCAACTCTGGCTGAATGATGAGGTTGGAAGCCAGACTGCAAAGAGGTAAGAAGGGAATAAGAGGAAAGGAAAGGGAGGCACTCTTTGGAGCATTGTTGAGGGCAGCAGCTTTGCCTTAATTGTTCTTTCCACACGTGGCACTCAAGATGGTGAGACTGGAAACACTATGGTGGGAGCCTTTCTTGGTGGTGTTGGGGCCTTATGCTTATGATGACTGGCATGGGGAAGGGAATCTTTCCCAGTCCTGTGGGAAAGGATCATCAGTGGCTAGTTCCCTGGACACTTCTGATCATTCCTTGTCTGGTTTCCCCTGCCAATACTTTTATCTTCCAGAACAAATAAGAAAAATCCAGAAGAGAGAAGTTCAGCACTCCCTGGCCCTCAGATCTACTCTTTACTCCTGGGTCTCTGTCTGACCATTGTCTTGCTTGCCTGATTGAGGTAGGTGACACTGGTCAGGGATGAAAGGGATAGGCAGGCAGGGAGGGAGACAAAGGCGTAATGAAACGAATGAAGGTTCAGTAAGGGAGATGGGTAATAGCGAGGGTGACGGCGGCTCATTGAGACAATGGAGCTAAGAGAGGAGGATGGGGGCTCAAGGATGGGGGGGTTCAAGACCCAATGAGGTAGAATAGAGGGGCTGAGGGAACTCAGCAAAGAGATGGAGTCTTAGTGTGGGGGTTGGGACTCAGCAAAAGAGTTTGGGGCTCTGGGAAGTGAATGGAGGTTCAGTGAGGGGAATGGAGATCCATAAGTGAGATGAGGACTAAGTGGGGTGATGAGTTTGGGATGACAGGGGGAGGTGAAAATGAGGTAGGGAATGGGGGCCTATGGGAAGGGTCATCCTGGCAATGATGAGATTCTGCGGGAAGCATAATTTGGCACCGAGCCTGACCCCAAGTTTGGGAGGAAATCCAGAGGGAATAGGAGCTCAGTAAGGGGCGGGGGTGGGTAATAATGGTGAGGAAGAGATGGAGGCTTACTGAGATAGTGGGGCTCGGTAACCAGGGGTGGGGGCTCAGTGAGGGGGATAGAGTTGGAGCAACAAAGGGAGGTGAGTAAAAGAGAGGGAATGGGGGTGAGTGGAAAGGCTAGCCCTGGGGCGTTGGTCCCCCCTCGAGCTTGTGACAAAATCCTGGCATACAAGCAATCCTGAGCATATTCTATCTTTGTTGGAGGTTGGAAGGGGACCTGACCTAGGGATCTCTGCTTTAGAGAATGAGCAGAAGTGGCCTGGACTTGTCCTGACTTCCTCCTGTTTTCTGTCCTAGGCACTTCCTGGACTCCTGTAGTCTCCTAAGCCTTGGCTCTTGGTGTTCTTTCCTGAGGCTCCAGGACAAGAAGTGGGGCTGAGCAGGGGCAGGAATTCTGGATGGGCTTGGGAGACTCAAGGCTTTACCGCCTGATTCCAAAGTCCTAGGGTGTGGAATGCTTGGATGAGAGGAGAGAAGCAGGGAGGGGAAGGGGCTATTTGGAGGAGGGGGAGAAGAGGGGATGGGCTCGAAAGGAGGATGGGGGAAGGAGCCCTGAGGTGGAGCAGGCACTGGGTTCAGGGTGCTGTGTCCTTGGTAGAAGTAGATGAGGGGTTGGGATCTTTAAAATAAACAAAAAAGGCTGGACTTTAAATTTTCTGGTCCTTTTTGGGAGATGGGAAAGAGGGCAAGGGCAGAGTTTGGCTTTCCTGAGCTCTTCTTACTGATCAGATTATTGTCTCCTCTTGGGAGACTCTGTGGTACAGTGGAAAGAATACTGGATTTGAGAGGACCTGAGTTCAGATCCTGTCTGATATTTACAAACATGCACAGCCTCTCAGCCTCAGTTTCCTCATCTATAAAATGATGAACTCTAAAGCCTCCTCTGGGTGTGAACTTAGGATGCTAAGATCCTGTGACCCAGGTAAGCTTGGACTGGGCTTGGACTAAACTTGCAGCTCAAGGCTTTGGACCCTGTCCTGCGCTTCCTTGTACCAGCAGGTACACCTTGTCCATATGTCCCGTCTGTAGACCACTGGATCCCAATGACTTCCAAGGGCTTGATCATCCTTCCTTCTCTCTAACCTTCAGGGCTTTTGGTTTGTGATGAAAACCACATGACTCTAAGCCAGGGCTGGGGAATGAGGGGTGACAGTGATCAGGCTGGAAGATGTTGTTGGCATCTCGAATACTCATAAGGCAATGTGGAGTATGGACAGGCTCTACTTGAGTTCTGAAGGCTGTTGGCCAAGAGCATTTTAGAGCCCTGCCACTGGAGATTTTCAAGTACAGTAGAGGCTGAGTGGCCTCTCTGGAGAGACCTCCTAAGCAAGTAACTGAGACGAACATGAAAATAACAAAAGGCAATCAAATAATAGAATCAGTTTCTGCCTGCGTAAAAAATGGGTAGCACCTCTCCTTGCACGAACTCCTTTTGCACAATCCCACTAATTAACAAGTCAAATCAAAGCAAGTCAACAAGCACATTTATTACATGTTTATACAGTACAGTGGACCCCTTTGGAAATCTGTTGTGGTTCAGTCTTTGCTGATTTTTTGTGACCCTATGTGGGGTTTTCTTGGCAAATGTACTAGAGTCGGTTGCCGTTTCCTTCTCCAACTCATTTTACAGATGTGAAAACTAAGGCAAACAGGGTTAAGTGACTTGTCCAGCATCACACAGCTGGTAAATGTCTGAGGCCAGATTTGAACTCCGGAAGAGGAGTCTTCCTGACTCCAGGCCCAGCACTCTATCCATTGGGCTGCCTAACTGTACAATTTGGAAGTCTAGGGACCCCTTCTCAGAACAGTGTTTTTAAATACATGAAGCAAAATACATAGGGTTACAAAGGGAGCCAATTGTTTTGAAATAATTATCAAATATTAAAAAAAACCACTCAAGTTCACAGACCCCAGTTTAAGAGCCCTTGAACTATACTTATCATCACTATTCAGAGTCCTTGCTGATAATGCCACCATTCATGTGGCTTTCAGGGAAATATAGTCTAAGGAATTTCTCCCAGTGAACCATCTCAAGCATAATAGAAAATGAAGTCCCGGGAACAGTTCTCCTTGGTCATAGCCACTACAACATATTTTCTCACTAACAGATGATACGAAAACAACCACTATCATTTGGGGCATGAATCCTGGGTACCTTCTCTATGTGGTAGAAAGAGTTTTGCTCTTTTTTTTTTTTCAAGGCAATGGGATTAAGTGACTTGCCCAGGGTCACACAGCTTGTAAGTGTAAAGTGTTTGGTCTGAGTCTGGATTTGAACTCAGGTCCTCCTGACTTCAGGGCCGGTGCTCCACTGCGCCACCTAGCTGCCTTGAGTCTTGCTCTTCTTGAAAGATCTCCTTGTCGCGCTATGTCTAGACCAGCTTCCAGACGGTGCTCCGAGCACTGAGTTACCAGCTCAGGTAGTGTCACAGATGCCCTGGCCATTCAGGAACTTGCCTTTTCTTTCTTAGTTCCTCAGCCCAGGTTTCTGTCTAGACTATAGGTAGGAATATGTTCCCAACAATAATTCACAACTACTTGACTCATGTTAGCTCCCATATGTGGAAGCATATTAAAAACACCCTTTTTAGTTCAACTGAAAACATAAAGAAATAAATATATCTCTAGCTAAAAACTATTTCTTACTCTTCCCCTTAGGGAAGTGTGTAGAAAGTAAAGAAAGTCTCAAGAAAATGGAGTGAGGGTGGAAATTAAACTTAGAACAAAAAGCAAGTCTCAGTTAGGTGGCACAGTGGCTAGATCACTGGGCCTCGAGTCAGGAAGACCTGAGTTCAACTGTGGCCTCAGATATTTATTATCCGTGTGACCCTGGGCAAGTCACTTAACCCTGTTTGCTTCAGTTTCCTTATCATACAATGAGCTGGAGAAAAAAAATGGCAAACCACCACTGTATCTTTGCCAAGAAAACCCTAAATGAGGTCACGGAGAGTTGAACACAACTGAAATGACTGAAAAACAGCAATAACAACAAATTAAGAGCACTGTTGGTCTTGGTGCTATGACCTAGCTGAGGGAAATATCCTCTTCTTCATTCATAAAAAATTAAGCGTACAGAAAGATTTCTACAGAAAAGATTGTCAACATTGTTGTTGTTCAGCCCGTCCAGACTCTTTATGCCCTTGTGGACCATAGCACATCAATACTGTCCATGGGGTTTTCTTGGCAAAGATACTGAAGTGATTTGCCCCTTCCATCTCTAGTGGATTAAAGCAGAGGTCAAGTGACTTGCCCAGGGTCACATGGCTAGTAAGTGTCTGAGGCCAGATTTGAACTCAGGTCTTCCTGACTCAAGGCCCATTGTTCTATCCACTGAACCATCTACTTGCCTCCCCACATGTCCATAAGCATTTATTAATCACTTACTCTGTACCAGCCACTATTCTAAGTGCTGAGAACACAAACAAAAAGAAAGATGGTGCTTACCCTCATGTAGTTTCCATTCTAGTGGGGGAAGATAACACATCAAAACCAACTGAATAGGGGATGGGGAGGCTGGGGAAGGAGAAGGCACACATGTGGGCCATGGTGGAGAGACTCCAGGGAGGCTGGAGTGGAACCCAGAGAGGAGTGGAAAAATGAATAAGTCTGGCCTGGGTACCCTCCTTAAAATGGAGGTTCTGGGAGAAACTGAGCAATCAGAGGAGGGGGCCACAGGGCCTGAGTGAACATCTAGGGTGAACAGGCTGCTTTGACATGGTGGACAAAGTCCAGAGATTCAGGAGGAGAGCTCCTGAGAGGAATTAAAGATCATAAAGATGAAGGCTTTTCAGTTCTGTGTGTGTGAGGGAGTGGTCAAGGGGGAATTCAATAGTTCGAGAATTTTAGTAGAAGATTAAGTGACTATTGTTCCAGAAAGTTTACCCCCAAACTGTATTTTAATACATTGTAGCCTTTTCCTTAACGAAGATTCCTATAAATGTTACCTCAAATTGTCTTGGGATAAAAAAGGACATGTCCCAGGCTATGCAGGGGACTATGGCAGATTGGACATTTCTCCCTCTAAGCTAGAAATGCTTGGAATTAGAATGTTAAACTAATTTTAAAAAGTCACCTGTTTCTGGTACAGTTTTGCCTAAAATGCAGAGGATAGTATAATAATTTTTCTTTGATACAACCCACAGATATTCTAATCTTCCTAAATTCCTCTGACCTCAAAACATTATTCACACTGATGTTAATTAGAATACATTCTTGTAAGGTGGAACTGGAATTAATTAAGCACAGGATTAGAAGTCTAGGGCAACAAAGCTACTCAGTGAAATCTCAACTTCTTTGGATTGTTTGCAGCAATGAAACCCAAAGGAGCCCAGTGGCTTTAAGATTCCTTATTGATGGTACCCTGACACTCCTTTTAAGGAAGGTCTGAGGTCTTTGCTTCCTATACCCAGTTCATACTGTTTCCCATTCCTTGGACCCCTATTTTCAAAGTCTCGGGGAGAAAGAAGGAAATCATCTAACCAAACATCTGCCCTGGGCTGATGGGTGGGCCGGGTGATGGTTCTCCAGCAGATGATTTTGTACAGTGATTGCCAGAGATTCCCAGGTGAGATGCTGGCTCTGCAATCTACACTCAGGGAACTTGGGGGAGAATCTCCAAGCAAAGTGAAGAAGATATCACCTTTCCGACTTCTGCTGTAGGTGAAAACTTCCTGGAGTTCGTGACCTCTTCTATTTCTGGCATCTTTCCCCTAAAACCTGGTTATTCTCTTTGCTTTTAAATTTTTTGCTTCATAATATTACTACTAGAAGGACCTTGTTGTTATTTGCCTCACTCTTACTAGTTGTGTGATCCTGGGCCAGTCACTTAATCCTGTTTGCCTCAGTTTCTCATGTGTAAAATGAGCTGGAGAAGGAAATGGCAAACCACTCCAGTGCCTTTGCCAAGAAAACCCCAAATGGGGTCACGAAGAGTTGGGCACAACTGAAATGCCTGTACAACATGTGTGTTGGAAATGTCTACAGTTTCTTACTCCTTTATTCTCCAGATCTCTACAGAGTGGTAGGAGTCAGTAGTGGAGAGAGTGTAGGACCGAGAAGCAGGAAGCCCTGGGTTTGAATCCTGTCTCAGATATTTACTAGCTGTGTGGACATAGGCATATAAATTATCTTGCCTCAGTTTCCTTTTCTGTAAAAGTGGGGGGGAGACAACGATCATCTATCTCACAAGATTATTGTCAAGATCAAATGAAATAACTGATGTTTATAAAGTATTTTGTAAGGCAATGCGCTACATGTCAGCTATTATGATAGTTAACATTTATACTGTGTCATTATTTTCATCCTTTATGATAGATGGCAGATAGAAAGAATGCTAAGACAAATCACCATCCTGATTTCATTCTCTTTCAGTTAATAGTTTGCTTGGTATTGTATAGATGGGGGGAACAACTACTTATAATTGAGGAAGAGTACTGAGAGATATACCTCAGTTTCCTTATCTGTAAAATGGGGATAAAATATAGTGCTTAACCACCAGGGTCAGTGTGAGGATTAAATGAGATAATATTTGTAAAGTACTTTGCAAGCTTTGAAATGCCATATACACTCACCAAAAGCGTCCTTGGGATAATCCAATAGTTGTGACAAAGGGATGCATATCTCATTCTGTTTCCAGCTGTTTTGATTTCTTCT